TAAACTAATATAGTTGCAGTGGAAAGAGCTGCGACGGGCGGTAGCGTGGCCGAGTGGTCTAAGGCGCTGGATTTAGGCTCCAGTCATTTCGATGGCGTGGGTTCGAATCCCACCGCTGCCATACCCTTGATGGTTTCACTTTTCCTGAACTCTTCAATTTGTTTGTCATCCTCTCCCAAAGACTTCCTTTTTGCCCCTTTCCTACGCTCTTAAAAAAAAAAAAGGGGGAATGGAGAGCAAACGGAAGAAGGTAGAAACCGCAGCCCAGGCCCTCTTCTGTGCACAAACCCACCAATCCAGCTACCTAAAAATCAAAACCAGAAGCGTCTCCTTATTTCCAAGGGAAAAGCATCTGAGATAACTTTAATAGTTTCCAGCAGACTGCCTACATCTTTAATTTAATGCTCCAGGGCTGGAGGCCACAGGGAGCAGACCTCGTTATCCTGCAAAGACAAACGTTAGGCGGGCTGATTTTAATTATGACTTGTGTTAGGTCATAATTGAGAGGAATTCCTTTCCAATAGGGAATGTTCCTTTCCAGCCCCCTCTGTGTCCTACGGAGAGCCCCAGCTGACTCCACAAATCTCTGTTGGTAGAAGCATGTCAGGTGACCCTACAGAAAGGCCGGGGCATCAGAGGGCCTGTCCCATGTAGGGTTAGCAACCGTGGAGTCCCAGCTTCATTGATCCATCTCATAGTTGGTCTTCAGGCTTGGCTCAGGGGCCTCTCATCTATTTATTTATTTATTCAATAACTATGTATGAAAGGTCTACTGTGTGCCAGAAACCAAGTTCATCCTGAGGCTACAGAGCACACAAGGCAGGCAAGTCTACTCACTCAGTTTTTACAGCTGCCGTAGTTTCAAATTACACCTGTGAGGAGTCTTCTAAAGTGCATGCTAACCTGGCTCAGGGCCAACCGAGGAGGTGACAATTAGCTGGGACTTGAAATTGAGAGGTTAGGTCTGTGAAGGTGGGAGAGAGGAGTCCCAGGAAGGGAAACAGCATGTGGAAGATCCTAGCGGCAGATGAGAGCCTCGTGTGTTTGAGATGCTCAGGGCAGCTGAGCAGAGAGCGGCGAGGACCGACTGCCAGCAAGGGATGAGGCTGACCTGTTAGGCAAGGAGGGTCATGAAGGCCCCGTTGAGGCATTGAGCTTCATCCTGAGGGCAATGGAAAACCATCAAAAGGTCTTAAGTGGGAGGGTAGCAGATGCCGGGTTGGCTCAGTTGGTTAAGCGACTGCCTTGGGCTCAGGTTATGATCCTGGAGTCCCGGGATCGAGTCCCACATTGGGCTCTCCCACTGAGCGTGGAGTCTGCTTGACCCTCTTTCCTCTTCTGCTCTGTCTCTCATTCTCTCTCTCTCTCTCAGATAAATAAATTTAAAAAATCTTAAAAAAAAAAAGTGAGAGGGTGGCATATTCCAATTTTGGGTTTAGAAAGTTCCCTCTGGCAGCGGTAAGAGGGGGGTCCATTCAAGGTCTACCGCAGCTGTCCAGGCGAAAGGAGAATGGCTTATACCATGGTTGTGACGGTGGGAAGGACACAAAGGGTGAGACAGACCTTTTGGAAGTGATCTGAGAGAACTCCCTGATGAGGATGTGAAGAGCATGTCAAGAGTGATGACCAGGTTTGGGACCTGAGCCCCTGGCTAGTGGCACTGGAGGTGCCTCTCCTCTCCCTAGGAGGGAACACAGGATGAAGAGGAGTTCGTTGAGAAGATGATTCCGTTGGTTCACATTGAGTTTGAGATGTGGGACATGGGCTTGAGTAGGAGGTTGGGCACAGAAGTCTGGAGGTCAAGAGAACACTGAACAAATGATACGGCTTTGGGAGGGGGTGGAGACTGAGGCCATGGGGATAGACGGACTTGCTCAGGAGGAGTACACGGGGGGGGGGGGGGGTAGAGGGGCCAAGACAGAGTCCTGAGGAATATCATCTTAAAGGGAAGGCAGTGAGGGGCGCCTGGGTGGCTCAGTCGTTAAGTGTCTGCCTTTAGTTCAGGTCATGATCCCAGGGTCCTGGGATCCAGCCCCGCATTGGGCTCCCTGCTCAGCAGGAAGCCTGCTTCTCCCTCTCCCACTCCCCCTGCTTGTGTTCCTTCTCTTGCTGTGACTCTCTCTGTCAAATAAATAAATAAAATATTTAAAAAAAACTTTAAAAAGCCATTTTTGAATGAGTTGAAGAGAAGAAATAAACATAAGTGTGGGCAACTCATCACAAAATTTGATTTTGAGAAGGGGGGAGAGCCAAAGGAGCAGTACTGAGACAGGAAATGGGGACTCAGGGGGGAATATTTTTAAGATGAGAGAGACTAGAGGATATTTTTTTAAATTTATTTTTTGTAATCTCTATACTCAACATGGGGCTTGAACCCACAACCCTGAGGTCAAAGGTCACACACTCCTCCCACTGAGCCAGCCAGGCACTCTGAAACTGGAGGATATTTTAGACACCCAGCCTTGGGTCTACAACAGGGAATAGTTTCAGCACCCACAGTGGGAAACTTATGAATTCACCCTGATGGTCCATTTGGGTTGGCTGCCCACAGTGACAGCTCTGTTTTCTGCATTCACGTTGCTTCTACTCAGTGTTTCCAAGTAAGCTAGGACCTCCTTCTCTCAGAACCTCATGCACGGAGGGCTGGTTACCTGGGCAGCCTCTAAAGTCCTCATGGGAACTCAGTTTGCCCGCTGGGTGGACGAAGTGGACTCCTTTTCCAGTGGGTCAAGACACACAAAAAGTAGGGATGCTTTCTTGGCAGAGTGACCCACACTGCCCCCAGGCCCAGAGTGTAGCTAGGGAAAGTGAGGACTTAGAGAAATCCAGAAAACAAAGAAATGGATCCTCCTTTTGTTTTTCGAAAGCTGTGTTTTGGCAGAAGACAAACGATGTAGAAGATTATGTGGACAGTAAAGCCCGTGTTCCGTGCCCTGAGCACAGGTTTCTCAGGATTGATAGAGAGGAAAGTCAGAGAAGAAGGTAGTGAGTTTAGAGGCACGTGCGTTACTAAGAAGAAAGGAAGCCCAGGGGCTGCTGGCCCCAAATGGCCCAAGGTAGATGCCAGAGCTCAAAGGAAGCCCTGACATGGCTGGGATGCAGAAGAGCAGACATCACCGAGTGTGGTGTTTGGTGAGCCTTGGGCAGCTCCTCCAAATGACTCCAGCTGCAGAGGAGGAACCCCCACGTCGTCCACTTCGAAGTTAGATATAACGCCAAGTTCCTCATTTATACAATGGGAACAATAAACCCTAAGAATTAAATAAAAGCAGATAGATGAAAGCCCTTTCAAACGGTCAAGCGTTAAACAGACATAAAGGATTATCACGGAGCTTTTAAAAAATTATATGCACACGTGCAGTTCAACCGGGCAAAGGGGAGCATGTGCTTCTCAGCTGCTTCCCAAACTTTCTTAATTGTTCCGCAGAGAGGGATACACGGGGGATGGCCACGTTGGCTCTAACACATTCACTCCCCTCCGCCACAGGTGTTGTTAGGCTTGTGATGGTTTTCTTCTCTGCCATAATGTGCGTGTGCACACTATGATATCTACATGGATATATTTACCCAGATAGCCCGGTACTCGTAATTAATACCAAGACAATGGGAAGGGGTGTTTCTGTGGAGAGCAAGGCTCAATTAAGAAATTTTGTGGGTTTAAACATTAAAGATTATGGTGATCACCACTGCCCCCTTATTAACAAGTAGAGGAAATACGAAATTATAAAATAGGACCAAAATAAGTTCTAACTCTTCCCATTATAATTATATTGGTACTTTTTCAAAAGGCCCAGTTCTTTAAAAAGTTATTTTTTGAGATATAACTTACACATATTAATTTCAGATGTACAACATAATGATTTGTGTATATATTGTGAAATGATCACGTCTAGTTAACATCCATCAAGACATATAGTTACAATTTTTTTTTTAAGGAGAATTTTTAAGATCTACTCTCTTAGCAACTTTCACATATATAATATAGTATTATTAACCATAGTCACCATTACATCACCATGACTTCTTTATAACTAGAAGTTTATACCTTTTGACCACCTTAAAAAGTTTTGTTTTGGTTTAGATCCTTGCCGGTACAGAAGCCTGTGCTTACTAAGCTAAGTCAGCCCCAGGCTAGTAAGCCGGAAACCCAAAAAGGCTAGGCTGGGTTAGGCAGAAGCCTGGGCCTCAGGTGACCCTCCAACCCTGACTATCAACACACACGGAGATATGCATGACTGAGTGAACCCAAAACATTAAGGTAGCAGCAGATCAAAAGCAGTTCTCCTAGAATGAGTCTATTCCAACATCTCAAGATGATCTCAGGACAAGCACAGAGGAGTCTGAGCGGCGAGGAGGGTCCAGTGTCCCTAGAGAGGAAGCAGCAGACCGGGAAAACTGCAAAAAACAGACCTGCACTTGGCCGCTAGAGACGACTCCGGCCAGGACCCAGGAACTCACCTAGGAGGCGTGGCTGGAGAGGGGCGGGGAGTCAGAGAGGGAGAGGGCGGGGCTATTGCCGAATTACAATTAGAAGAGGGGAGGGACCAGATCCAGAGGGAGGAGCAGGGCCAGTCGGAAGGAGAAACGAAGGGGAGGGCGCAATCCTACCGGTCGGGCCAGAAAGAGGGCGGAACCAGAGCAGGGGAGAATTCGGGGCAGAGATGGGGGTGAAGGCCGGGAAGGCGGACGAGGCTGTGCGGCTACCTGCTCAGTAACCCGGCCAGGCCAAGACCCAGAAGGCAGGGCCATGGCTCAAGAGGCGGAGCAGAGGCGTGCGCAAGCCCGGAGATCAGGACTGGGGCGGAGTCAGGACTCAGGGGGCGGGATCAAGTCCAGAGGGCGGGGTGTGGGTGGAGCAAGGGTACGGGGGCGAGCCCAAGCCCGGAGGGCAGGACAGGGGCGGAGTCAAGACCCAGGGGCGGGTCCAAGCCCAGGGGGCGGGTGTGGGCGGGGAAACGGGCGGGGCCAAGTCCGGAGGCGGAGCTGGGGCGGGTCCAAGCCCGGAAGATGGAGCAGAGGCAGGAGCCGAGTCTGGCTAGTGACGAACTTCAGACGATGTACGGCTGCAGGCCTGGCAGGTGCAAGGCCAGGGCGAGGAGCCCGAGCAGCAGCAGCAGTCCGAGCAGCAGCCGTAGAAGCGTCCGCGCCGAACAGCCGCAGGGCCGCTGGCTCGTGGACCGCACGTATTGTTCCACGACGTCGGCGAAGCTGAACTTGTCTGGCGCGTAGCCCAGCTGCGCGCGGGCCTTGGCGATCTGGAAGGTGTGCGTCACCGCCACGCTGCGCACCTGCGGGGAGAGAGGCGGGGTTGCCGAGGGGCGGGGCTCTGCGAGTGGGAAGCACACTCCACCTTGTTTTACCGAGAAGGAAAAGAGGGCAGAGGTTTCCCTCAGTTTCAGAGAATCCGTGAGCTGGATCTTGCCCCTGCGATGCCCTCCTCAGGGAAGATTTCCTTTTTTCCATCCCATCTCCATTTTCTTCGAGGGCGCCTCCTCCAGGAGGCCTCTTCTGCATCTCCCCTAGCCTAACTGAACTTCTCAGTCCCCCAAAAGTGAAGGTCCCACCTCTGCACTTTCCCTTCCCCGGCCTAGCACGGTGCTGGGACTCAGCCGGCACTTGCACATTCTTGGGTATGCACTAGGAGAAGCTGACCGCCCTGTCTGTGGCCTGGGTCCTGCTCTCCAGAAAAATGACCCCAGGAAATGCTCTAGACTTCTCTGGCCACAGCCCCAGGGCGCAGCCTTTTTGCGCCCTCCCTGGTTAAGCTTACCAAAGAGAGGAATTCAATTATACAGAAGCGATTACTCTCCAGGCTCTGGGCTGCGTTTCTTCCCACTGCTGGGGCTCATAGGTTTCCAGGGCCGAACAGATAGCTGTCAATAACTGAACAGGCAATGTGCTTGGCCTGGGCTAAATCCTTTCTAGGCCTTAGCTTATTTAATCCCCTCAGATGGTACTACCACCATCTCCTCTTTACATATTTGCTTTTTTTTCTCTTTGCATATTTAAAAATTAAGAACAGGTTAAGTGACTTGCCCATCCTCTTCCCTGCTATGCTGGGACTGGGAGGATGCCCTCCCACCTCATTTCTTCATCTATTGTTCCTCAGCTGGACCCTGGGAAGGGGTTGGAGAGAGCTGCTGGATTCTCCCATGGCAATGAAACAGCCCCTCTGGCCAAGCTGCTGATCTTTTTTTTTTTTTTTTTTTTAAGATTTATTTATCCATTTGACAGAGAGAGACAGCGAGAGGGGAACACAAGCAGGGGGAGAAGCAGGCTTCCTGCAGAGTAGGGAGCCCAATGCGGGGCTTGATCCCAGGAGCCTGGGATCATGACCTGAGCCAAAGGCAGAAGCCTAACGACTGGGTAACCCAGGCTCCCCTAAGCTGCTGGTCTTGTATGCTTGTGGGGGAGAGGGCAGTCTTGTCCCTTTTTGCCCCAGGTAGTAAGTTCAGGACCTTGGGGGATACAGCTGGAAACTAGATCAGCAGGGTCCTGGACGCACTGCTCTCAGGCTTAGATGTCACCTTCCTTTGGGAAGTCCCCTTAACTTCCGCAGAACTGGCTTAGGTGCCCCTTCCGTGCGCTCTGAAGTTCCTCATAGTTTCCTCCAGTATAACTCTTATCACAGTGTGCTGAGTTGCCCGGTTACGGAGCTGTCTTTCCCTTTGGACTGTGAGCCCCTTGAGGCAAGGGCTATGTCTTGTCTCCACTACTTAGCACAATGTCTGGCACACAGTGGGTGCTCAAAAATGTTCAATGAATCAGACTGAAACTGGAGGGCTGGTTGGTATGTCACAGACTGACCAGCAGAGAGCGCCTGAGCCACAGCGCCCAGAAACCTCCCTAGCTAAGTGGGGATCCTTTACCCCTTCGCTGAACTGGGAAACCTGTAAGTGAAACCAGAGGGGGGTCGGGGGGTGTTAATTCCCACCCAACCACAATTCAGTGGCACATCGGCAGCTAATTTACATGATTGTGATTCCTGAGTCATTTCACAAGTTGATGGTTAAGCTTGAAATCATTTAGGTCTGGTCTGGGTTCGAATGTCAGCTCTGCTACTTAAGTGAATACTCATGGGTTGGTTATTTCAGCCCTGTGTGTCTCATTTCCTCTGGAAATGGAAATAACAATCTACAATTTAGTAGTGAAAATGAAATGAGATAAAGCACAATGCCTGGCATATCCATCACTCAATAGATGGCTACTCTTGTCATTCCCTTTCCTCTGGGAGTCTGGATGGCCCAAAGGAGAAACCACAGGGAAGTGCTTCTTTCTGTGGCCCATGCTCTCTGAGTCAGACAGCACTGAGCTTGAGTATGAAGCCAATGCCAGAACCATGTGGCCTTGGACAAGTCACTAACTTCTCTAATGCTCAGTTTATCATAAAACATGATCATAATCTCTTGCCCTTCCTAACTTAGCAGGACATTAGAGAGAATCAGATGAGAGTGTGAACTAGGAGGATTTTGCAAGTAATGCCAAACACTTTATAATCTTCATTAAAACATCCTCTCTTTTAGGGGCGCCTGGGTGGCTCAGCTGGTTAAGGTTCGACTCTTGATTTTGGCTCAGGTCATGATCTCATGGGTCATGATTCCAGGGTCATGAGGTTGAGCCCTGAGTAGGGCTCCGTGCTCAGCGCTGAGTCGGCTTGAGAGTCTCTCTCCCTTTCCCTCTGCCCCTCCCCCCACTTGCACGCGCTCTCTCTAAATAAATACGTGGCTCACTTGGTTAAGCGTCTGCCCTCGTTTCAGGTCGTGATCCCAGGGTCCTGGGATGGGAGTTCTGCATTGGGCTCCTCGCTCAGCGAGTGCTTCTCCCTCTGCCTCTCCCCCTGCTTGTGCTCTCTCTCTGACAAAATGTTTTTTAAAAGTCCTCTTTTAAAAACTATATGTGCTAATAGAAAACTGCATCATCAGCATTTGAGAATAGTATTCTGGACACAGTAGGCACTTAATATATACTTATTATTCAGTAAGCGTGGTGCACCTAGAGCCACTAGGCTCCATGTGCATGTTGTCTTGAGCGTTGGTGGCGCCAGTGGGTGGCATTCAAAAACGTGAATGTTACGGAACCTGCCTTTGGGAGCCTCCAGTCTGGCAGCGAAGATACGCTGCTTAAGAACAAAATGACAGGGATGAGTGACAGGCTCCAGGCTCATCGCATTTCAGACCAAGAGAGCACAGCCTAAGAAAAAGCCCAGACGTTGGGACGATTCTAAAGAAGCCCACCTGGAAGGTTCTGAGACCTCAGACAAGCATCCCGTTATGGCATCAAAGGGGTGAGGGGTGGGGCCAGTGGGGGTGTAGAACAGGAACCACCCCAGAAGCAGCCCCCTTACCTCGCTCCGGGTGAGCAGCGGGGGGACGCTGTAGATGGGCCTCAGGGCCAGGTGCAAATACTCCATCACTGCGGCTGTGCGGGGAGACAGGGGCCAATGACCAGGGCGCCTCCCTCTGTGCAAGCTCTGGGGAGGCCCTCGGGGACAAATCAGTTGGGGGCATTATTTGCTTTGCTGGGGGGGGGGGGGGGCGCATCTCTTCACTTTGCCAAATTCCCCTGTCCTTGAATTCCTTTAAATCAGCAGCTCTCAGCACACGCCGGGGTGCCTTGTTTGGCTGTGAAATGTGTCACAAGTAAGTTGTCATTAATAGTAAAGGACTGACATTTGAAAATAAAGCAGAGCAGATTCACAGCTCAAATCATGCCTCCTCCTTTCACTCACTCCTATTCCAGTGTGGTCTCTTGAGGAGGAGAGAGAAGTTGGAGCAGAGGTTCTCAATCTGGGTGGCACACTGGACCACTTTTTAAAATGCTCATGCTCCTGGGGTGCCTGGGTGGCTCAGTTGGTTAAAAGACTGCCTTCGGCTCAGGTCATGATCTCAGGGTCCGGGGATCGAGTCCCACATCGGGCTCCCTGCTCAGCGGGGGGTCTGCTTCTCCCTCTGACTCTCTTCCCTTTCGTGCTCTCTCTCTCTCATTCTCTCTCTCTCAAATAAATAAAATCTTTAAAAATAAATAAAATAAAATAAAATAAAATGCTCATGCTCCCCCCCCGCCCCTTTCCTCTTGCTGCTGCTGATGTAGTGGGTCTAGGGATCCACTGAGGCATTTTGATATTTTATAAGCTCCCCGGTGATTCAGATGTGCAGCCAGGGTTACGAACTCGGGGGTGATAGTTAGCTCAAGAGGAACTGGAAATGTATATACAATCCTGTAAAACTACCAGAACCCATGGCTGATCTTTTCCCACCTGTGGGTCAAAGAGCATCAATCACTGTGGCAACGCTGGACATGAGAAGTCACCCCGCATGTGTGGCCTGGTGGGCAAAAGTTGGCAGATCCCTGCTTTAAATGGCAAGCATCCCACTGCATTTAAAATAGAACAGATCTATAGCTAAGGTCTGCCAGGAACGCAGCTGTTTGTGACTTGAGGGTCATTGTCCCCTCGGGCTGACCATGTTGTGCCTGGTGCTTGCTCTGCGTTCCAGCTGGAAGGAGGCCAGCAGAGGTGGTGATGGGGGGCAGGGTGGTGAGAGTTAGAGGCTGACCTGAAGGGTGAGGAGGAAACTTCACATACTCCAAAAACAGCCTTGACTTCGGGGTGACCTCAGGGGAGAAGGCGGCCCCAGGGCTCCCTCTCTGCCTGACTGGCATGATGCCTTCCACTACAGGCCACGGGGCTGGCCAAGCCCAGGTGTGAATTCTGCCTGTCCCGCTTTCTCACGGTGGCCCAATCACACCCACCTTGCAGGTAGGACAGGGTTTATACTGGGCCAGGATGAGGGTGAGGAGGCTGCCGGGCAAGGGCCGATTGAGCTTGGAGCACCTGCCCACGAGAGTGATGGTCTCCTGAGATTTGGCGCCCTCAGTGCCTCACTCACCTCCACCTAGTCCTGGCCCTGGGTCTGAAATGAGGTGATGCATATGTACCTGGCTCATGGAGGGATTTTACTACACACACTCTTTTCCTTACCTGTTAGGTAAACCCAGGAAGTAGGCACCTGGATCCAGGGCTGGCTGTACCCTAGCTTCTCAAACTGCAAGGAAACATGGCCCGAGATGAGAACAGGTCTTCCGGGGGCTGGTGTGGAAAGGCCACATGTTCTCTTTACCCTGGGGGTGAGCAGAGGTACCACCTGGCCACCCAAGGGGGAAAAAAACCCCACAGCCAGCCCCAACCCTGCGCCAGTCTTGAAATGGAAAGCTTTGATCTAGAAAAGTCAAGTTGGACTTAAATGCATGGGTCGGTTTTTAACCTGGGATCATTCACATCATTTAGTGACTCCTGACATCTGCCTACAGCCAAAGGCATCGGCACAGTGCAGCAGTTCCTCAAAAATGTATTTATTTATTTTTTAAAGATTTTATTTATTTATTTGACAGAGAGACACAGCGAGAGCAGGAACACAAGCAGCGGGAGTGGGAGAGGGAGAAGCAGGCTTCCCGCTGAGCAAGGAGCCCGATGTGGGACTCGATCCCAGGACCCTGGGATCATGACCCGAGCCGAAGGCAGACGCTTAACGACTGAGCCACCCAGGCGCCCAGCAGTTCCTCAAAAATTTAAACGGGGGCGCCTGGGTGGCTCAGTCGTTAAGCGTCTGCCTTCGGCTCAGGTCATGATCCCAGGGTCCTGGGATGGAGCTCCTCTGCAGGGAGCCTGCTTCTCCCTCTCCCACTCCCCCTGCTTGTGTTCCCTCTCTCGCTGTGTTGCTCCCTCTCTGCCAAATAAATAAACAAAATGTTAAAAAAAAAAAATTTAAACAGAGAGCTTCCACCAGACCCAGCACTACCACCCCGGGGCACACACCCAAGGGAAATGAAAACGTATGTACACAAAATATGTATACACTAATGTTCACAGCGGCATTTTCACAGTAGCCCCAAAGTAGAAAAACCCCTATTTCTATCAACTGATGAAAAGATTAACAAGATGTGGTATATCCCTAGAAGGGAATATTTTTGGCAATAGAACAGAATGAATACTGATAGGATGCAGGCTACACATGGATGCACTTTGAAGGCATGAGGTCAAATGAAAGAAGCCTAACAGAAACGTTCACATATTGTATGATCTCACTTACAGGACATGTCCAAAGAGGCAAGTCTACAAAAACAGGGAGTGGACTAGGAGTTGTATGGGGCTAGGGGTAGAGTTGGGGTAAAGGCATAATTTGGGGGGGTTCTTTTTTGGAGGATGAGGAAATGTTCTAAAATTGATTATGGTGATGGTTGCACAACTCTGAATATATGAAAAGCCATCAAATTATGTGCTTTAAATAGGTGAATCGTACAGTATATGAATAATATCTCAATAAAGCTGTTGACATTGATGCGCCCGAATGCCACAGGATGGATCGTCCAGCGCAGGGCTGCTGGTCGACCCCTTCCAGGCAGCCCTGGCCCCAAGAAGGGGTCTGTAGGGTACTGGATGAGGAGGCCAGGGTTCTCTGAAGGGCGGCAGCATAGGAAGCCCCAGGGCCAACACCTCCCTCTGTGCTTCAGTCTACCTTCTACTTACCCCTTGTGGAGCTTTGTCATACTGTATGGGGGCATCACAAGCAAACATGCACAGGGCAAGTCAACATAAATCAGGAGTCAGGCTGGGAGGGACTATGGCAACCCAGGGGAGTACATGGCCCCCCAAAGGGGCAGCCACACCCAGCTCTAGCCAGTTCCAGTGTTGCCCAGTGGACACTATCACCAGAGCTGGTTTTTAATGTGAAAGCTTCTGATTTTCTGGATGGAGGAAAGGATGACGAGAGAAGATGTGCAGAATCCCTGAATCCTCACCCGGGGTGGGGGTGGGTGATGTCTGGACACCTACCAGCGGGGCCATCCATTCGAAGAGGTTGACACTCTCCCCATCATTGACGTAGTATGCCTGGCCACTCTGAGGGGACACACAGGGAAGGGGACAGTGAGGCATCTGCCCCCCAGCCTGACCCCACCCTTTCAGATGGCTTGGCAGCTGCCCCATCTCCCCAATTCTCCTGAGCAGCCACTGAGGAGTCATGGCCATTCCCCAGCCCTGGGGACAGACCTGGGCAATTCCCTTTGAATTCTGAGACTGCCACCCTGACTAGCTGTGTGACCTCAATAGAGTCACTTAACCTCTCTGTACCTCAGTTCCTTCATCTGAGAAACGGGAAGAAAATAACAGGTTCTCCCTCTTGGACTGTTGTGAAGATTACATGGGATGGTGTATATAAAATGCTTAGCATTTGGTGACCATGACTTCAGGACCACCAACACCTACATCACAGGGTCGCTGCAAGGAGCTAATGATGCTCTATAAAGACCCCCTCACCCCGAGCTTCCCTGAGCCTACGGTCCCACCGACCATCTTGAGTTGGGGAGAAATGTGTGTGAGCCAGCAGTCCCCTAGGGATGGGGTGCCCTGTCTGCAGCCAGCTGGTGGGGGAGGTGGGGACAGCCCTGCAGGAGACTCACGGCCACGTAGCCCTTGGCCGCGGTGAGGGCCTCAGCTGCCAGCACATGTGCCTGCACCAGATTGTGCACGTGGACCCAGTTCATCTGCGTCCTGCGGTTCCCAAATCGGAACATGAATAGCCTCTTCTTGATGTGGCTCTGGAGGCGGGTGATAAACACAGACTCAAGCCTGGAGTGGCTTTGAATACCATTTATATGACGATGGCTCCCACATTTCTAGCTCCAGGCCAGACCCTTCTGCCCCAGACCCACGTCCCGATGTCTCCATGTGGTGGCCACTTGTCCATGTCCTGGAGCGAGTGCCTGACCTTCCAGCTCCTGATCAAGTCCTCCCCGCGCCCCCCCCATCTCACTAGACAGCACTCTGCAGCTCAGGCTGAAACCCTGGGGCCTCCACTGGCCTTCCTTTCTCTCCATTCCACGTCCAACTCATCTGCAAATCCAGTTGGCTCAACTATTACACTCTGTCCAGAATCCCCCTGCTTCTCACCGCCCCAGCTGCTGCCCCTCTTTTCTACCTGGAGACCAAAAGAGCCTCCGAACTGGTCCCCACTTCCACCCACGGTCCCTGCGGTTGTTCTCCACACAGCCAGGGGGATCCCCCTGAATCTTAGATCCTGTGTCTCCCTGCTCAGAATCTTCTAGATGCCCACGCTGCCAAAAGAAGTCTCGACAACAGCCGAGGGGGCCCTTCTGCTCTGGCCCAGCTACCCTCCGACTGTCTGCTATGAACTTCCTTGCCCACTCAGCTCCAGACACACGGGCTCCCCCCAGCGTGTGCAGCAGGCTCCCATCTCAGGGCTTCTGACTTCCCTCTGCCTGGAAGGCTATCCCTCCAACCTGGTGTGATGCACACTGCCACCAGCTCGATGAGGCTCCCCGGCTGCCTGGGCGCCCAGCTCCCACACCCTGCTCCGCCTTTCCGTTATTTTTCCAACGCACCTTGCACCTTCAAACCCCCTTTATTGTGTATCATGTTTATTACCCATCTCCTGTGAGAATATAAGCCCCACAAGGGCAGGAATCGTCTGTTTTGCTCACTGATCTGTCGCAAAGCCCAGAGCAGCGCCGTTTCTCATTCCGGGTTTGTACCCAAGCTGCCTGCCACGTTTGGACCACCTTCCCTCTCCCACCCCATTTCCTTGGTTCATTCTTTCTTCCCTTTCCAAACAGCACAGGCATCATCCTGGACCTCCCCTGCCAGGCTCCCTCTGTGTACTCCCATATTCTCGTTCTTCCCTCCACGTAGCCCTGGCCACACTGGTTCTGTGACGGTACCGCCTGTCTCCCAACCAGGCTGTGAGCAATCTGAGGACAAGGCCTACAGTCCCTCATAGCTCTATTGCTGGCACCTGACTCTCCCTGGAGAGGGGCTTCCTATATGAAGACCCTTGTGCTGGCAGCACGGGATGAGCCATCTGGCCACCAGGAGCCCACATCTGAGTAGGGACAACAGGCTCCCTCTGCCTCTTTGGGGTCATAGCTCCAGAACTCCCCAACCTGTACCTAACCCTGGCAGGCACACACTGAGACCTTTGTTCCTGGTGGGTCTGCTAGGGGTAGGGACAGCTCCCAGAACTAAGAGCCCCAGGCTCAGGATGTTGCCCCAAGACCAACACAGTGACTGTGGACCAGAAGGGCCCCAATCCATGCACACAGCAGCCAGACTCATCCTGAGTCTCAGGCCCGGGGCCGGGCTGACATACCGCAATGCGGGGCAGGTGCCTCTGCTCTTCAGGGCCATAGATCCCTGGGGGCCGGAGCACACACGTCCGCAGAGTGCCTCCTCCTAGGACACAAGGAGGGTGGTCAGGGGCCTGGGAAGGGGTGGCACAGCAGGGAGAGACACACACAAATGCTGTCTACACCTTCCGGTCCTTGCCTGGACAGGTTAGCAGGGAAGACAGGCCCCTGGGGTTTCCTTATTCAATTATTCTCAATCTGTTAGTCATTTAACAAACAACATTCAGAGGTTGCCCAACCTCTACCCCCAGCACTGGGCCCCGGGAATCCAAGGGTAACCAAGAAATGGTCCCTGCTCTCATGATGCTCACAGGCCAGTAACCAGTGGTAAGACCTGGATGCAGATATGTACGCAGCCCATGAGTTTACCCTGCACTCGATAGATGTAATTTCCTTTGACTCCCCTGAGAGTCAACTGAGCCCATTTTACAGTGTACACCATCTTCCTTTGGGGGCCCCTCCCCCTCTGCACAAGGTCTTAGGGGGCTGTCAGTCTGGATGCGCCAGATGCCTCACTCTCTCCTGAGGTGGTGGCCATGGGACCCAAGCCGGGTCCATGACATATTCTCACCCAAGAACATGACTCTCAGCATCACCGACACCAGGATCTAAATTCCTACAAGTGGGTTCACCCTGAAAAGACTGGTCACCAGCTCCTGCCACCCAGTCCCTGGAGCTTCTCCAACCCTATCCTTTCCAAGCCCTGGTAGTCATTTTTCTGGAAATATATTTTCCAGAAACGATCCCACAGCCTTCCACTATAAGTTCCCTTTCCCAGCAACTTAGCCAGGGCTGGTGTCTTGGGTCATAGCCCAACACCCTGACTGCTTCCCCACCAACATCCTCACTTTACCATGAGGCCAGTATAGTGGGTTGAGTGGTGGCCCCCGAAAAGATATGTCCACATCCTGCAACCTGTGGATATGACTGGATTTGGAAGAGTGTCTTTGCAGACGTAATTAAGGATCTCAAAATGAGATCATCTTTGATTATCCGGTGAGCCCCAAATCCAACGTGAGTCCTTATAAGGGACTCACAGAGAAGAGACATGTGGACCCCAAGGAATGAGTGGGGCCACCATAAACTGCTGAGACAAGGAGGTTCTCCCCTAGAGCCTTTGGAGGGAGTGCAGCCCAACTTGGTCTCACACATCCGACTATGAATTGTGAGAACCATGAGAGAAGACATTTCAGTTTTAAGCCACTGAGTTTGCCGTCCATTGTCCCGTTTGTACTGAGCTGAGATTTGCAGTCTTGGGGCTCTGCTTCAGAGACCGGGGCCCTCCATGCCGGGTTAGAGGCAGAGTCTCAGGGACCAGCTTGTGTTAGCAGGGACTGGAAATCACCCAGGGTGACCATGGCTGGACTCCTGGAAGGCAGGTATCAGGTGAGCTTTTCTGTAAACAGCCTGCAGCTAATTTTAAACTCTGGGTCACCTAGGCATGGTTGGGGGGAGGTCTGGTTGCAGTTGACATTGGCTGGCGGGGCGCTGGGCAGCTACGTCACAGAGGGGCGGAGCCCAGGGTATCCATGACTCCTGACCACGGAAAGCTGGGGATGCTCATATAAATAATTCTTGGCCAAAGGATTAAGTGTCTGGTTTGCAGGCTGCTGGTCCAGCCAGAGATGGCCCCAGGCAGAGAAAAGAAGTCAACTACCCAGGGTCAAACCCCTGGGAAAACACAGCTGGATGTGTGTTCCCACTGGGATCAGCGGGCAAGGCCTGATAGGTCCAGGGTGCCAGGGTAGGGTGGGGAGGATTTTAGGGAAAAGAACCCATGCTCAATGGTCTGCTCAGCTGTGGCTACAGTGAAGCATGATGGTTCAGATCCAGGCTCCAGGCTCTGGTGTTAGACCCCCCTGGTGTGGGGGTGGGGGTGGGGGTGGGGTTCAAATCCCACCTCTGCCACCTAATAGCTATGTGACCTTAACGAAGTCAGTTCACCGCTCAGCCTCAGCCTCTTCCCCTATAAATCCACGGATTATAGTTGCAAGCATCCCTCACTCTCCAAATCAATCTGGCTCCTGTGTTTGGAAAGCAGGGGATCCCTCAGGTTCTTAGCTCACATGGATACTGTAAAGAGTTACTGAGAACCTTGCATATAAAATTAGCATGTAAAATAGGGCCAGGCATATAGTAAGCACTCGGTAAATGCACACCGTCCATATTCTTTTTTCTTCCCTTTTAAACAGGCAATTGCCTGTTGTTATTTTATTCTCATAAAAGCTCTTCGAGGTAGATTCCACTATCATCCTCATTTTGTTACAGATGAGGAACCTGAGGCATGGAAAAAAGGATATTGCCCAAGATCACATCACAAAGCCAAGAGGTGGTGGTGTCTGGATTTGAACTCACTTCGGTCTGAGCCAGCGTGTGGGAGCAGCTACTGTGTCATACTGACACCTGTCCATAGTCTTCTTTTTTTTAAGATTTATTTATTTGAGAGAGAGAGAGTGGAGAGATCCACTCCTACATGGCAGAAAAAACACCCACTTCTATCTGGTCTCTTGGTCCACTCAAGACCGTGAGCAACACGAGGACAGGGACTGGACCTGACTTTCTAGAGACCGTATCCCCAGTGGGGTTTGGGCACACAGCAGGTGTTCAGAATTTGTGGAGTGATGAGGGACGAAGGCCCTGGGGAGCTGTCCTATCGAAGGAAGGTGAGCCTCAGAGACACAGAAGCTAAAAGCCAGACTCCCCCGTGCACTTTGGGGGCGTCAGCGGGGCCCCACAATACTCACCTGGGAGAGGTGTTCCATTGGCCATGAGGGTCAGCTGGTCAGCGATGGCTTTGGTTCGTGAGTAGTAGTCCACGTGCTGCCAGAGGAAGGGAGAAGGGAGCCACCAGGCAGGGGTCAGCGACCCTGCTGGGGAGGCCTGCCCAGCCCACCTGGCACTAGGCCTGCCCCTCTGCTTCAGACCACACAGGGGTCGGATTCTGGGGACCCCCCCCGGGAAATGGCCAAGGCCCAAGCCCCTGTGCCTGGGAAATGGCCAAGGCCTAAGCCCCCGTGCCTTTCTTTTCCCCCTGGGGTGGGAGCGACAGGAGCAGAGCTCAGAGTAGTGACAACAACCAGGGTCCCTCTACTCAGGGAGGCTCTTGCCGGCCCCCAGGGCTTGCTCTGGGATGCGGATGCCGCACGTGGGCTGGATGGACTATTTCCATGTGGTTCTTTAGTGTCCATGGCTTTTTCACATACATCATCTCATTTCCTGCTCGCCACACACCCACGGGGTGGAGTGGTCATGGCCGGATGAAGAAAAATAGGCTCAGAGTAAAGTGACTTGTGCAGAGTCCCACGGGTAGAACATGGCCGGGCTGGCTCAAGGCCAGGTCTGTGTGATTGCAAACCCCCTGCTGGCATGACCAGCTGAAATAGGAGAAGGCTTGTGCTACTCAGTTTTGGGGACCCCTTCTTCATGGGACTCACCAGGAGTTGTGAGGTTGACCCCAGTTTCCACCCATCCCTGCCCTTGGGCTGTGTGTCCCAGGCCCAGTGGCCCCGCCCACCTCTCCTGGAAGCCACGTACCTTCTCCAGTGGGAAATATGGCACAGAGTCCTCATCACCCTCTTCTATGGGCTTCCCGCCGAACACGACATTGACCGTGCTGGTGTAGATGAGCCTTGGGACCCGCCGACGGACACAGACTGCAGTGACAGGGGCGCACACAGCAACACACGCGCGCGGACACGCACACGCACACGCACACACACGTGGCCAGCATGAGCGGGAGTTGGCTGAGGAGGTGCCCACTGGGACCCAGTCTTGGACACACATCCTGGCCCCTGGCCCAGAATCTAGAGATGCTCAGGAGGGAAGGGGGTTGGGTCAATCCCTGCTCTGTGGGGCCCTGGGGGCCAGGCTGGCTCACTCCTCCTCAGTATGGCCATGGCCCCTGAGCTATCTTGCAGCAGACCAGTCAGAAGAAAGTCTCACTCGATGGGGACACAGAAAAAAAGACACTCTAGAATCAGAGAGAAAAACAGGATGCCGCATGCCCAGAGAACTCGGATGTGGGTCTTGTATTTCAGTGACTTTTCTAACCCTTAATCCCTGAAATGCAAACCCCGTGCTGCCCGTGTCCCCTGACAGGCTGTGGCCACACTGACCCACCCCACATGGGGGCCCGGGCAGGTCCGCAGTACAGTTAGGATGTGCTGCCCACAGGCCCTCCGCTGGGGTGGGCAGGGGGAGGGGAGGAGGATCCCACCTCTCTTCCCCTCCCCCGTCCCCAGAGCTGGGCCTGTGGCAGGAAAGGGGACAGAAGCAGGAAACACACAGCAGGTCACACTGAGCTCTGAGCGCCTACCATTGATCACTAGTTTGGTGCCTCCAACATTTATAGACTCAATCTGCTCTTTTTGCAGCTAAAAGACAAGAGGGAGTTGGGAAAGTGGTGGTGTTGCTCAGACCTCCTCGAGGAGCCACTGAGGCTGTAAGGTGGGCTTAGGGTGGGGCCGGGCGGGGGCCGCAGGATGTCTGGCTCAGCAGCAGGGATCTGAGTGCAGGAGCCCTGGGCCCCGGGGCCCAGCTCTGCCACGGTCTCCTGGGGCAGCCAGCAGAGGTTCCATCCCGTGCCTGGCCCTCAGCTCCCTCGTCTGTAAAGTGATGGCAGGCCCCCTCGAGTGGTGGGCAGGATTGAATACACCCGTGGCAGGACCGGGTACAGTGTGTGACACAGAAAAGGGACCCAAAATGTGTTGGATCATTTCCTCACTCTGGCAGTCTGGGTTTCCTTAGCTGTCAGACAGACAGGGTAACACTGTTCATGTTCTAGCGAGGTTGTGTCTACACAGAGAGACCTGCTTGTGTTTCCTGGGACAGGGCGAAGCCTTTACATCTCACTTAATTCTCACAACGAACCAGGAGGTGGGTTCTGTCTCAATTTTTAAACTATATTTATTCTCATTGCAGTTTTTTTTTTAAATAGGTAATACAATTGCAAAGTTAAACATAACTCAAATGGGGCGCCTGGGTGGCTCAGTCGGTTAGGCGACCGACTCTTTTTTTTTTTTAAACATTTTATTTATTTGACAGAGAGACAGCGAGAGAGGGAACACAAGCAGGGGGAGGGGGAGAGGGAGAAGCAGGCTTCCTGCCGAGCAGGGAGCTCGATGCAGGGTTTGACCCCAGGACCCTGGGGTTGTGACCTGAGCTGAAGGCAGACGCTTAACGACTGAGCCACCCAGGCGCCCCAAGGCGACCAACTCTTGATTTCAGCTCAGGTCATGATCTCAGGGTCGTGGGATCGAGCCCTCTATTGGTCTCCAGTCTCAGTGCCACGTCTGCTTGAGAGATTCTCTCTCTCTCCCTCTCCCTCTGCCTCTCCCCCTCGCCCTCTTTCAATAAATAACATACTAAAAATATATTAAATAAAAAAAATAGAATATTAAAAAAACAGTAAACAGGGTGTACACCCAGTACACCCTCAAACAGTAAAAAGGGTGTACAGGAAAAAGAAAATTTCCTTCCCACTCCTGATTCCCTGCCTTCCCTCCCACCACCCCCCCACAGAGGCAACCACCTTTACTGTTACAGTCCGTGTATTTCTAGACATAATCTATACTTATTAATATCAGCACATACACATGTGTGAGCATATAAATATTTATCCTAGCTGCCGCTGCTGCTGCTTCTTTTTTTTACAAACAGGATATCAAACACTGTTTTTGCACCATGGAAATTATTCTATTATCAGTACATACTGACTTACTTCATTCATTTGAATGGCTGCATAGAATTTCAATGGAGACCTTACAATTTATTTAAGTAGTCCTTAACTGATGGGCATAGTAACTGACGTTACTTCCTGTGTTTTGTTGTTATGAACAATGCAGCAAATATAAGCACAGTGTGATTTTGGAGCCTAAGGGTATCTGTATGTTTTGACAGGTACCCTCACACTGAGGAGGTTCTGATGTGAATACTAGTACAAGTGAGGAAACAGAGGCTCAGAGAGGTTAAGTTAACTCGCCCTAGGTCCCACAGCTAGAAAGCAACAGAACTGGCATTTGGTCCCATGGATGCAAAACGCAGACTGGTTATCATGTAAATCCTTCCTGGATTAGGTGAAGGGCGATAATGAATACACGGCATGAAGCGGGGTGTGTGGGCAGAACCAGGATCTGAACCCTGCTCTGTCTAACTCCAGGTGTTGTATGTGGGGGGGCTCACCTTCTCAGCACCAGACATTCCATAGGATGCCACGTGGAAGACACAGTCCACCCCTTCGAAGGCACGATACAGGGCTTCTTCATCACGGACATCCGCCTGAAACAGAGAAGGAAGAGATGGGGACAGGAGGTTTGGGTCCGAGGCAGAGATACCAACTGTGTACCTTGCCAGGTCCCAGAGCTGGTCCTCTGACCCCACCCTGGCCAAGCACCTGTAGGAGAAGCTGTGGGGCAAGAGTTACCATATGATTCTACAGGGCCTCTTTGGCTTCATCATCACCACCGGCCCCATTTATCAAGCTAAGTTGCAGGGGCTGTGCTTGCTGTTTTTACGCACGCTGTCTCACTGACTCCCCATAAGACCCTTGTGAAGTCTTCTTTCCTGGATGAGGACTTGGAAACTCAGAGATGTGGAGCCTTGTGGCCATGGCTGCCCGGCGGGGAAGGGGTCAAACTTAAATAGTCCCACTCCAAGAGCCTGTGCTCTTCACTGGTTTCACATCAGACGCACACCTCTGCCGCCAGCCTGGGCTGGTCCCCACACCTCCACTGCCAGCGCCCCCAAGACACTCATTACTGCACCTGGATGAACTCGGTCCCCGGGGACAGCTCCCACTGCGGTCTGCGGAGGTCAAGCAGCAGGACAGAACTGCCACTCTTGGCCAGGCTGGAGCCCAGGCTGAAGCCCAGATAGCCTCCTCCTCCAGTCACCAGAACCTTCTGCTGAGGGGCCTGCCTGTGTGTGGCCTGAGTCTTCTGTTGTGGTGCTGATGTGGGGGCTGTCTCTGGCTCACTGGGTTTGGGCCCAGTTCCAGACTCCTGTCTGGGCCTAAGCTCTACCCCTGGCCCAGGTAATGGTACAGCTCCTGGCCTAGGTACCGGCCCAGGGACTGACCCAGCTCCTGGCCCAGGCCCCAGACCCGGCCCAGGTCCTAAAGCAGCACCAGGCCCTGGCCTATGTCCAGACACAGCACCAGGCCCTGGTCCAGGTCCTGAAGCAGCAACAGGCCCTGGTCCAGGTTCTAGAAACACACCAGGCCCTGGCCCAGGTCTGGACACAGCACCAAGCCCCAGCCCCGGCCCCAGAACTGTAGTAGGCCCTGGTCCAGGTCCTGGAACTACACCCAGCCCAGGCCCAGGCCCTGACTCAGACCCCGGGCCTGAGACTCCTCCCCAAGCCTGGCAGACAGGGCAGCTCTTCTCGCCCCGGCCTACAGCTGTGCAGGCCTCTGAGGAGGAGCCTGCTGGGTTGGGCTTCATCCTCTAATGAACCATGCAGACCGAGGATCTGTCCACCTGTAGAGGAAAACAAAAGAAAGAACATTCTAGAGTTGTCTCAAGTCATGTGGATTATCAGACTAAGGAGAATTCCTAGTGAGGGTTGGAGATGCTCTGACTTCCCAGTGAACCTGTCCCTTGCAGAATTTTGAGAACTTTCAAGGTAGCTGCTGCCTCCCTCCGAGAGAGTCAGAGACAAAGGCAGTCAGGCCTTGGGTTTTACGGCTTTGGAAACTGAGGCCCAAAGTCACACTGCATAGCTGAGGTTTATACCAAGCATTCCTGATTTCTCTACCAGTTCCTTAAAATCCCAGTTCCCGTGTAGTACCAGAGGAAGACAGATCAAATCAGGCCCAGGGGAACCCCACCAGACTGGGGGGGTGACTGCTTTCTGACTGGGAAGATGGGGAGGGCTTCCTGGAAAAACAGGTAGACGGAAGAGGAGGGAGGGGAGGACGGAGAGGAGCGAAGGAGAGAGAAATGGAGGAGATGAGGAGGAGGGATCTGCGTGGGATCCAAAAGGGCTCTGTGCTTGGAACCCCGCACGTGATTCCGAGGGCCGCACTGCCTCTACCCCGACACCTGCGGCCTCTGGTTCTCCCAGGGCCCCCCCACCTGCACAGGTGGCTGGCAGTACAGGTCTGTCCAGGCCCTCTGCTGGCTTCAGGGTCAGGTGCGTGAACCCTGGGGTCCAGGACCAAGCGTCCTGCTGTCCTCACTCCAGACTTGAAACGAGCCAGGCTGTCAGTCACTGTCACCATCATCATCCCACCCCACTTCCTGCTCCACCTGAAGACAAGGCGTCCACCAGGGGTCAGATGATCATCATTATCATCATTAATCATGGCAGCAACCATGACTGGTGGGCCAGCCGTTTGCCAGGCCCTGTGGATATAGAGATGGTGTCTCTGCCCTGCATGATGCCTACTGGCTGTAGAAAAGAATGGGCACTGAGTGACTGAGTGATGAGCCCCGTGGTTGTTGCAGGTGGCGTCATGGGGCAGGGACCCTGACAGCTATAGGGACTGTATCTTTCAGTCTCTGTTGTCACTGCCCTGCACTCCAAAGTTCCAGGTGAGGGACCCGGTCACACCCCGCACAAACACTGGCACTCATGGATTTAACAGAGGGGAGACACCCCAAATCTGAGTCATCACAGGGGATGAGTCTAATTCCCCTGTAGGGAGGGGAGAGGATGCAGCCCCACAGCGGAGCCTTTCTCTACCCAGGACTCTGTTCCGGGGACTGGTCTCTGGGACCAGAACCATCTTGCTAGCCTATGGGGATGCTTCTTTTTGTGATGAAGACTGGGTGTGCCCTTAGGCAACATCCTTAAAACCTCACTGCACCTTGGTATCCACAGCTGTAAAATGGACCCAAATAACCCTGGTGTTCCATCTACCTCAGGGGGTGGTCATGAAAGACCAGATGCCAGAGCCCTTGGCAAAGCACCGGAAAGCGTGCTCCAGGAGGGCCTTGTTCACTGCAGTGCCCCCAGCACCTGCACCAGCGCTGGGTCGAGCAGATGGGGAGTAACAGCTGACTGCATGAATTCACTAAGAGCTCTCTTCTGCATCTGGGAGCGCCGCGGCGACACTGAATTCTCCTGGCAGTCCTGAGCATGAGGCTACTGTTCCCATCACCCAGAGCTGGAAACTGAGGCTCAGAAAACATTCGCGAACTTTGATGGGATCTCAATAAATGGGTCGGCCTGGATCCAGGTCACTGGGGACCCAAAGTAGGGTTTGGTGAAGGGAACTGGGGGTCGGGCGTCAGGGACCCACCCCGGCCGCATCGACCTCACAGGGACGGGCAGGAGAGGGTGCCCCCGACTCTGAGAGCAGCCCCGGCCCCGGCACCTCCGGGCGTGTCCTCCGGCCCCCCCCCACCGCGCCCCCTGCCCACGGAACCCCGGCAGCCCCCTGCAGCCCCCGCTGCGCTCACCCAGCTCGGCCCCCGCGGCGCTGCGTGCTCCCGGCGGCGTTGCGCCCACGGTCTCTGAGCTGCCCGGCGGCCGCCTCCCGGGGCGGGGCCGGGCTGGGCTCCGGTCCGGGACCGCCCCCGCCCCCGCCCCTGCCCCGCCCCCGCCCCGCGCCCGCCCCTCCCGCGCCTCCGGCGTTGTTTGGGGCGGCGGCCGCAGGCTCTCACAGCGGGGAAACTGAGGCTGGTTGAACAGGGAGGGGGTGCAATGGGTCTAGCTGCGGGTGGGGAGAGGACGCAAAGCCCCTGCGGGCGGGGCCTGTCCTGGAGCACAATGGTCCTCGAACCCCAAGAAACAATGTTTGTTTCTTGACCCCCTTCCCCATCTGTCTGTTCCCCCACACGTTCCTCTCTGGGCAGCCTGACGCTTCCTGCCTTCCCGCCCCTCTTCCTCGGCCACCTATTCATCACCCCACCTATTTTTCCATCCGCCTCTTTGCCTGTTCATCCATTTCCCCACATATTTTGTGTGTGTGTCCGTTCATCCGTTCGTCTCTCCATCCGTCATTCTGTCTTTCCACCTATCCATCCAGCCTTCCATGCATCCAGTTCATTCCATGTATCTTTCTTGCCTCTCATGCACCAATCTGTCTTCCTTCCTTTCTTGTATTCTCCCGCCCATCTCTGGGTACATCCGTGCTCTGATGCGGTCATCCCACGTTTAATGGGGGCTTCTTCAGTGCTGGCCTTTCCCTTGCGCTGGGGCCCCGCTGGATCACACCTTCCCTGGAGAAGCCGTTAGCAGGTGGCATGCGGCCCACAGCTGGTCTGCTATAGAGGCGCTCTGAGGACTGACTCTGAGCCGGGAACACGGAGGCCTGGTCACTTCGGTCTGAAGAGGCTACTGGAAAGGCTTCACCTTTTGGAGCCTCCTCCGTGAGCATAGGTGGGTGTGGGGAAGAGAAAAGAAACTCTTAGCCAGTACATGCTATGTGCCTGGTGATAAGGTATCTTGCTGAATCCTCACAGCTCTCTTTTGGCCCAGTTTTAGAGGCAGGGAAACAGGTTCAGAAAGATGAAAAGAGGCTTGGGGTGTGGTGGGAAAAGGCCGTGGGGGTCAGCCCTGGCTGTATATCTTCACTTTGTCACTTTCTTCCTGTGTGTTTCTGGGCAGCTGCGAGGCTCCGCGTCCTCATCCGAAAGTTGGAAATGACATGTGCTTTACAGCTGGGACGTGGTTATATGAGAAGAGTATGGTGCCTGTCCAGTCAGTGCTCAGCCCATGGCAGGTGTTATCATTATAGGAGAGGCTGGGATTCAAACCCAGGTCCTGTGCTTCATCACTTCCCAAATCATGTCCAGACCACGTCCATCACTCCATTCCCAGAGACCAGCCCCTCCTCTCCCACTAGCCGGGCCTCAGGACTCATATCCCCCCCAGTCCTGCAGCTGCTGTCATCCTGCCAAGGACAATAGTTTCCAACACCGTAGTTATAAGTTGAATTGTGTACCTCCCCCTTCCCCCCATTCACATGTTGAAATCCTCACCCCCAGTACCTCCGAGTGTGATCTTGGAAATAGAGTCATTGCAGATATTGCAGTCATTAAAGATAAGGTGATAGAAAGCAGGGCCTCGTCCAATACGACCAGTGTCCTTATGGAAGTGGGAAATTTGGACACAGACGTGCATGCAGGGAGAGCATCATGTGAAGATCAGAGTTACGCTGCCACAAGCCAAGGAACTACAAGGAACCCGGAGGGAGGCCTGTCACAGACCCTCCCGAGCGCCTTCAGAGAGAGCCGGGCACTGGCGGAACCTTGATCTCAGGCTTCCAGCCTCCTCAACTGAAGACGGTCCGTTCCTGTTTCAGACGGTCCGTTCCTGTTTCAGCCGCTCCGTGTGTGGTGCTTTGTTATGACAACACCAGCAAAGCGATAAAGCAAACACCAGAGGCCATTTTCTCTGTCTGTGGAGGTGACGCGGAAGGGCAGCTACCCAAGGCAGTGACCAGACCGAGATCCACTGAGCAGGGGCTGTGGTCTCTGCCACCTCCCTGGGCCCAGCATGGAGCCTGGCCAAAGCCAGGGCTTGTCAAGCCTCAGGGAACTGTGGTTTGTTTGTTTATTTGTTTTTTTAACAATTTTTACTTCCTAGATGAAGATCTAGAACATTTCCAGCACCCCAGATGTCCTCAGTATGCCCTTTACCAAGGTAACCACTGTTCTGACTTCTATTGCCAACAAGAGTTTTGAACGTGATATAAATGGAATTACACACTATGTACTCTTCTTTAGCCTGACATTGTTCCTAAGATTGAGGCATCTTGCTGAATGTAGTTGTAGCTCATTTTTTTAAATTGACAGCGTAGAAATGTACAGAGTACAAATGTCTCACAAATGTATCAGACTGTACAAATGTATCACAATGTATTTGTCCATTCTAGCATTGGTGGATTATCTAGGTTGTTTCCAATTTTTAGCTCTGATGAATAAAGCTGCTATAAACATTCTCCTATATGTCTCTTATGGAACATATGCACCTGTTTGTCTTGGAGTGGAATTGCTGGGTCACAGAGTAGGCATACCTTTTCCTTCAGCAAAAGTTGTCACACAGTTTTGCAAAGTGGTTGAATCAATTTACACGCCCCCCCCCCCCCCAGGGGTGTATGAGAGTTCTAGTTGCTCTGTATCTTGATATTGTCAGTCTTTTTACTTTGTGCCATGCCGCGCATGCCGTGGTATATCACTGTGGCTTGAATCTGCATGTCACTGATGGGTAAGGCTGTTGAGCACCTTTTCATATACCTATTGTCCATTTGTACCTGTTTGAGTGTTTTGTCCATTTAAAAGAATTAGGATATTTATCTTTTTCTTATTATCTTATTATCTATTTCTTATCTTTTTCTTATAAAGATATTTATCTTATTTCTTATATGAAGAACTTTTAGAGTTCTTTATATTTTATGCATATGAATCTTTTTTATCTTTTTTTAAAGATTTTATTTATTTATTTGCAAGAGAAAAAGAGAGATAGTGAGAGAGAGCATGAGCAGGGAGGAGAGAGAGAAGCATGCTCCCTGTGCGGCTTGATACCAGGACTCTGGCATCATGACCTGAGCCAAAGGCAGATGCATCACCAGGTGCCCCTGCTTATGAATCTTTTAATAAAGTTTTATATCACCAAAAACTTACACACACACACAGACAAACCAATCATCACTTCAGCTTAAAAAGTCATTTTGATCCTATTTAATTAAATACAAGCAATTTCTTGTTTCAGGAAGTGACCGCAGACCACATAATACATGACATATTCATTTCATATGTACACAGTAGGGCTGGGCCCAGTGGACCCAGCCTGATTTGCACCTGCTTGAGCAGACCACTCTCTCTGGACTTGGCTCCAGAGCAGACTTCAGTTCAGTTTGACTGAACAGGTAGGGGGGCAGGTGGTAAGCCCCACTTGTTTCTTCTCCCAAGATGAGCTGATGGTGAATCTGCATCACCCCTGTGGACCAGGGTGGTGGGAAGCACAGAGTGAGGAGATCAGGGTAGAAAAAACACCCTCTGGCTGGTTTCCAGGGCTGGCGTCCCACAACTAAGCCGGATGCTCACAGTTTACTACATCTGCCCTGTGGCAGGTTCTGGGGACCTAGAGATCGTTAGGACACCAGCCTCATCCTGGGGGAGCTCACAGTCAAGAAGAGTTGGCAGGAAGCAAGGAAGCATGGCATGGAGTGCTGGGCATAAGGGCTAAGTGTCACTGCTGTGAAAAGGTATGTTTGGCCAGGATGCAATGGAAGGAAGGCTAGAGGCTCCCAGCTCTTGATGGGTCTCAGAGACATCTTCACAGTGGAGTTGATACCGTTTGAGATGTGCCTTGATGGATGAGCAGGAGTCACCAGGCAGAGGGTACTAAGAAGGGGGTTCCAGGCAGGGCTTGGTGCAGAGCTTCCCAGTGAGTGACAATTTTGTGGCTGGAGGGTAGGACGTGTCGGGGGACAGGGCAGGAACATTAGGGTGGACCCAGGAGGGCAGAGCCTTCCCTCCCACAGCTTCCAGGGAGCCCTGGCACCTGGGATCGTGTTTCCTGGGGATGAACTCTGGGTTACAGCTTTCCCAGAGTCAAAGTGTGCTCAGTGAGTGATTATTTGTATTAGAGGAGGAGGAATCATTTCTGGTCCCTCCCCATAGTTACTGCTGTCCATGAAACAGAGCATAATGTCTGGCCCTTGGTGGATACTTACAAGATGGAGAGTCTGTCTCCTCCTCTCACCTGAGAACACTTGTCTAAAAAGGAGTAACATTTGGTTCTGTGTTGTTTTTCTTCTGGAGTTGGCACCTAGTGGACAGGAGATGAAGCAGGGTTGCAGCTCTCAGAGGAAGGCTGCCACGACCAGGGTGGACCCGGTCTTGAGGAGACCCAGGGTCTGGGTGGTCTGGAGCCGTGAGGCTGGTGGGAGGGGCTGCTCCAAGGGCATACCTGAAGGACTGGGCCTTCCAGAGGAAGCTTCTGGCCTTGGTGATCTCCTGGGCCAATTTCCTTAAATCATCTCCTTCAAACAGTGGCAACAGGGGATCCTCGGAAAGAAGAAATGAACGTGAAGTGACATCCATTAAATGACTGGATGCAACTGAAAATCCAAAATCTCGGCAGAAAAATTTTAGAGTTTATCAAATGCGGCCTCCCACCCAATGCAGGAGATCTGTGGCCTTGGTTTGCATATCTCCGGGGACAAAGAGCTCGCCACCTGCCAAGGCAGTCATTCTGCAAATGGGACACTTTGACATAAGGTGTCCGAGGGTCCGTGTCAGGAACGAGTGGGCAGAGGCAAACCGAGATGCTCATTGAACTTCCTGAAGTCGGCGGCCCCTCTCTTCCCAACAGAACAGAAGTGGTACCTGCTCCTTATCTCCCTATTACTCGGTGAGATTTGTTCTGCCCTTTCCCTATTGCTTCTAGTAAAACCAAACTTCACAGACATGCTTTCATTGTTATGTCAACCAGTGGAATTCCAGAGGCTAGCGTTAAAAACACAAATTCTCACAATCAGCAAGAGAATGTAAGAAAGAGAAGCTGCCTCTGC